AAGAGAGACATGAACGAGGACGGGGTGTGAGAGGAACAGGGTAGTGGAGGAGGATGACGAGGAGGAGGACAATGACGGGGACGGCGCCGGCTGAGGAGGGGACGGCTAGGATCGGAGAGACGGTGGGAATGGGGATGAGATGTATGACGGGGTGAACGCAAGAACCGCGACAGATGTGAGATATCGATGAGAACGGAACGAGAACGGGGCAGGGCGGGCGAGGAGAAAATGGCGGGGCAGACGAGCCGGGAGCGAGGAGAATGAGAAATGGCCGAAGAAAAATGAAAGCGGGAATACGAACCACAGTCTGATTGATTGATTGTTTCTGGGAACTACAACAGCTACGCTCATGATTTCCGAACATGTTGTACAAGTTATATCCATAGACGTGTCAGTGTCCCGTCTTACGAAACGTTTGCCCCGAGAGCATTTCGGATTGCGAGATTTCCCCCTGAAGGTATTTACCCCAGTAGGATCCCGCCTTTGTTCAGCAAATTAAGCTGCAACCATGAGAGGTCTAGCGACCGGTTGCGCTATATTTCCTTCTTCATCCTTTTACCTATTTCTTCTCTGTAACACATACACACTGACGTGCACTACATTACCACATCTCTGGAGACCAGAAATGGAAAATGAAGGGGAATGAAAGCGGAAACAGAAGCGGTAGCGGACGCAGGATTGGATGAGTGAGAGAGGGAGCGGAAGGCGGGAGGGTTGGTGCCGAAGGAGGGGATGGTGATAGGAGTAGGAGAGGGAGCAGTCGCCAGCGCCGTGTTGGCAAGGACGTCGGTTGGGAGGCCGGGAGCGTCGGCGCTTCCTTGGCGCTGATGAGCGCCGATGGCGCGGCTTCGCGGCGGCGAGGGAGGGGGCCCAGTTGATTTGTTTGCCTGCTCTCGAGGACGCCGCCGCCTCTCCACGCCAAACGCCGCGTCGCGCCGCGCCGCGCCGGCTGTCTTCGGAGATGTCGATTTCGAATGGAGCGGGTGCAAGGGGGGGGGGGGCTCGGTGAAGGTAGAGATGGTGACGACAACACTTTAAAGAGATGCGGCGGAACAAGCAGCGGCTATCCAAAAGATGAAATTCGGTTTGAATGGTCCTTCTTCTTCCAGATATCTCCCACAGCGGGGTACCTCCCCATCCGGAGAAAGCTCTAAGCTCCCGATTAGTCTCCTCACATGCGGTAGCGTAGTGCATTTCAATGTGTGAAAGGGAAGAGAACATGAATGAGGAAACAAGAAATATCGCGCGCGAACCATGGCCCGTTTGTTAGATACTGTTTCGGTATTCCCCTGGTCAAAGCACGTAGCCCCTAGTTTTCCTCCAAATTGTATGTCGGTCTTTTATATAAAATATACCAGTCTTTTAAAAAATATATCTATAGTCATTGTTTCTGAGATATAAGGATTCTTCTCAAAATTTAATGATTTTCCCTGTCCTCCACTTCAGTGAAATCACACGACTTTTCGTTGCTTTTTAAGAAAAGCCCCTTAGCAGCGTTGAATATAAAGCTGCGGCTGTGGCCAGCGGCAGGAATCGTGGCGTTGGTGACTGCGAGGGAGGTGGTGACGGCGGCAGCAGTGGCGAAGGCAGCGACGTGGAGCGCCGTAGGCGGGAGATTGGATGAACTGTTGTTCTTGGTTTCGAATTGCGGGAAGCGGTGGGGCTTGGAGGGGTGGGACGAGGCGCGAGGGGCAAGGAGAAGGGGGCGTGGCCTCGCAGCCCCGAAGCTCCCGGGCCGCGAGCTCTCGGCCGCAAACGAAGCCCTGAGATGGATGGATTCTTTTGTTTCCGCGCACGTCAACTGACACAGTCATTAGTATCGTTAATGTAGTGAATGTTTCATCCCGGGAGTGGCGGTGTTCCTCCCGTGGATAGTTAGATACGGTGCCGGCCTACGCTTGGGTTTTGGGATTTCACCTTGGGTTATCCCTCCCCAGACGGGATCTTTAGTCATGGGGATGTGTAGTCATAGAGTGCTTGTGAGTGTTTGTATGGTGAGAGGATAGGACAAATGAGATGAAAGAATAATCGCGCGCGGTCTGTGGCCGGTTTTTACAAGTAGTGCTCTGGCATTCGCCTGGTATTGATAGTACAGAAAACTACTGACCAGAACAGGCAATTCCTACAATTCTCTTCCAAATAGTGGCTGAATTCGATGTAGCTATTTAGCTTGTGTCGAAAATTCATAATTCATTTCCGTGGGGTTCGAATCGTAGGATCTTCCGTTGAGAGTTACTTTAACAACAGCGCCATCTGAGATAAACTACGTGCGTAGCGCTCGGTGCGTAACGCTTAAAAGCATCCTCTTGAATAGTGATTTTTTAAAGTTCGGAACTGAAGCGGGTGAAGCCACGGATAACCACGTTTCCCAAATCCAAGATAAATTTCTTAGAATTTCACCAACAAAACCAATCATGATCCAAACGCAATACAATGGTGTTCATAGAAATACAGTGTATTTATTGAAAGGAGAACGAAGACAGACTAAAAAATGCATGGTTTATTTGCAATGTATTAAGATAATAATAATAATAATAATAATAATAATAATAATAATAATAATAATAATCGTATCAACATACTCTAGTTACAAACCTTTAGACACTAAACACCTACAAATTAATGAGTGTTATGATTAACGTCTGTTATGTTGTTAAAATATTTCCGTAATTGATCAATTTCAACAAGCACATAAAAATAAGCAAAATTTTAGTAGTCTATTGAATTTGATTTATTTAAAGATGTTTATGAGTCTTAAAGGATTTTTGATGGACTGTCGTTTTCTCTCACGTTACAATCACGAGGTACAAATACCTATGGTCTACGTAATAGTTGCACTCATAACTTTTTGCCAACGCTGTAACTGCTGAACACGCATGCACTAAGAAAGGTGGGCGCATTCTTTCTCATACCTAATTATTTTTCCAGCACCTACTACTGTCTGCTTGTTTACCCTAACACATTGAAAAGTTAACTTCTCGCACGTCCGCACCGATGAGCCTCGTGCAGGAAACCTAAATATGTCAACGTTTTAAAAATACTTTATGAAGCCCCTCTTTCGGTGCGTTCTGGGTCTAATCGGTGTGAATGGCTCGGCTCCAAGATTCCTTCTCGTGCCGTTTCGCTCACACTCCGAACGCTTTATGCAAAGGGCAAAATGCAGCCATTGATGGAAATACGGGTGTTAATTTGGTACGCGTATTTCTATCCGTTTACATGATCTGGCCGTGAGATGGCGCGCAGAATTTAAGTTCTCAGACTAGTCACTGTTTTATAAAAAATTGGGCAAGATGCTCTCCAAGTCAAGTTTACTATCGGTCATGTTTACCATCTATCACGTGAATTGTGTAGATAATTAATTGAATACTTGTTCTATGAAACTTGCCGAAGCTCAAAAAAGAGTTCTTCCATACCCGGCAGTTTAATACTATAATTCTGTGTTATTGCCTCCTCTGCATTCACTCTTATTCTCATTTCCTTTAATTCTTGACGTTGTGGCGACGTAGTTTTGAGGTACGCATCTGAGCCAATGCCAATCATTCCCTAAATGGGAGTTGTAGTTATTAATTCTTCTCATTGGCCGACTTTCTCAGATTTATTGGGGAAGCGGAAACAATATTTAATGCTAGACGCGCTTTGGGTCGGTACAATAACTACAGGCGATATGCTATAGACACCATTTAAAAAGAGGTTATGACCCATTGATCTGTACAGAACTGAGGGAGAGTAAAGTACGAACTTCTTACAATTTAGTTTTGCAGTATGGTTTCATTCCAAGTGTTATACGCAAAGCTACTCTAACAATAAAAGTAAAAAAGAAAATAATGTATACTTTTTAGAATCTTCCCTTCCACGCATTCTAAATATTTAATCAATGTAGTAATGAGTAGTTTAAAGTCATCAAAACATTTTTTCTCTATTTTGTACATGTCAACAACTTTACATAGACTCGCAATTACATACGTTCCAATCTACCGAGAAAAATGTGAACCTCACATTGTCGGCTATTATTTTATTCACTCCCAACAAATAAAATGTCAAAAATTTGTTTCGACGCAAGTCAACGCACTATTAAAAATAGCATATGACTCAACGAAATAAATGGTGCGGGTCGTCGGAATGGTCCAAAGAGCTCGTTCTTCTCCTTTTTGCAAATGGGGAAGAAGTGGATCGTCGGCGTTCGTGACAACCTAGCGCGCACACCCGCTGGGGAAACAATGGAATTAAAGTTTGAATGTCCTGTTCGTACCACCTGTTTCTTCTTTGCCTCCTGGAGGGTTTCAAGCCTCATTATTTAAGCAGATCACAACCTTTATTTTAAGCAAACTTTCAACCCCCTCCAGGGGAGGCAAATCGTCCAATGACCTGACGCTCTTAGTGGAGGAGGTCTGAGGCTCTTGACGTATATTGGGACGCGGTACTCATGCCGTTAATGCCAATGTGGGTGGTGCTAATCTCCGTGTTGCCGGGTTCACCCGATGACCCACCACTTGGGCCTCTTCTCGCCAACCTTTGGGCAGCATTTAGCAAGAAAGTTGCTCCCAATCGCACATATAGAAGTCCAACCGGGAGCATGAACCCTGTCAGGTTGCCTTGATTCCAGCGGTTCTCGCGTCGACAGCTTCAGGGTGGAGACAGTAAGGAGACGGGTTGGGGGCCCGGAGCCTTAGTGCCGGCGGTCCCCGGCAGTTCGGCAATTCACCGAAAAAAAAAGAACCGTTGAAGTGTACCAGATCCATGATACTGTAAGAAGGAAACTTGTTACAGCATCATGGATCTGGTATACTTCAACAGTTCTTTTTTTCGGTGCGGCTTCGTCGTGGCAGTGCCCGATACTCGGAGATAATTGAGGAGGGACTTGTCCCGGCGCGATGTGAGTGGCGCTTAATTTGACTCCGGTGGACGTGGACTTGGAACGCTCTATAAGCTGGCAGAGTAGCTCGCCTTAAGATAAATTGGAGAGGTTCCCATGAAAGGTAACTTGCGTTTCGGCGTGATCCGTATACCTGCGTGGATGAGTTCTTGGTACTGTAAGGAGTAGAGATAAAGGCCACAAAACGAAGGTGCCCACCCGGGGAGCAATCCCTCCCTAGTACAACTAGTAATAGTGTGGGGTCGAAGCCCACGTGAAGGACACAAGTCCTTCCTCCCACTATTAGAACAGAGAATTTATTAATCCACAGTTCCCATAGGATACATTCCTCATAATGCAAAAAAAAATAAATAGTACTAAAATAATGTAAATGCCATTCTGATGCACAACTTCTGCTCCAACAACATTGCATCAATTCAGAGATATTGTTCTTACGGAGACATAATATTGGTCTTCTCTAAAACAACATGAACAAAAAAATACGTGAATGAACAAAAGAATGAATGCAATAATGAAAATTAATAATTGTAATGGTCATATTCAGAATTAGGGACTGGAACATTGAAGAAAGTCGGCATACTGACACTAACCGGAATTGTAGACGCATATTTCACATGGAAACCAAGGTTCCAGTGGTGAAAGAATAATGTTCTATCAATAAAGGTTTAACAATGTCGATATGCTTAATTTCTTTACTTTAATTATTTTAAGCGCAAATTTCTTGAGAATTTTATTCACAAGACACTATAGCATTTACGGAATAATTCTTATTCGTGTATTGTTTTCTCTGGACAAAATGACGCCACGCCAAACGCCCCAGACCAACGAATAAATTGACCACGTTTCTAGAACTAGATGGGAGAAGAGCGAAATCCCTACAGCCATATAAAATGATTCGTTGATTATTGGAATTCTTTGAGATTATTTCTGACAGAAAATCTAACCCGTGTGTGTGGAGTCAATCAAAACTATTATTTTTAAAGCTTCAAGAATCTTCATTGGTGCCTGAAGTCGAATGAGAGGTATTTGAAATGCAATAGCGAATCTTCTTACACCTCACCACTTCATTATCAACATAGGATGAGTCAATTTAGGTGTGAAAAATAACAATCCTATTCTTCATAAGTAAACAAATGTTCCTAACGCTATTTAGCTGAGAAACCCATTGTTTCCACAGAGCAGTTTCTTAACAATTTCTCTTCTTTTATAGTGCCCAAAAAGTTGCAACTGTAGTGCTTGAAAGTCTGGCGATAGTTCCAACTATTGCTGAAGAAAATCTATTACTTTCTGACACCATCACACAGGCACAAACCAAATTAGTGGATTGACCAATTTGAGACCGGAAGAGATTGCCCACTGATGTCATTGCACTGTCTCTAACCGAGAGATACTAGGATTCGAGTCCAGACGGAGGCAGAATTTTCTACAATAGCTACATAGGTCGATCGAATTCAACCGCTGTCTGATTAAGAACTCCAGCAGCCGGCTGCTCTGATCTGTAGATTTCAGTTATTTCTCCCATCAGCACCAGGTGAATGCCGGAGCAGTTTCTTAACAAACGGGCCACGGACCGCCCGCAAACTTTTCATCCTGCTCCTTGTCCTATCCTCACCGCTTACTCGCACATCGATTACTTACACTACCACTCATGCTGGGCGACCACCCAAGAGTTTAGAGCTTGTATCGGCTGTGGCGATGCCATGGGCGAAACCTTGATGAGGAAACGTGTAGGTCAATGCCGTATCTCGTCATCCAGCTGTGGAAGATCGTTACCTCTCGCAATAAAACATGTAGTACACTAACGGGACTAATGGCTTTAGCAGTTGACGTACCCTATCTAATCACTAATATATCATTTACTCCGGTTATATACATACTACGACAAAATTGGAATTTTTTTAAAAGCAATTTATACTCGAATTTACCGCTCTGACACCACAATGCTAAAGCAAAAACTTATTGCTAATATTATCAGGCACACAGGGGTCTTGTTTTTTACATCTGAAAAGGCTCACCTTGTAAATAATCCTTAACTCATACTTGGCACCACATATCACTCAATCACTCAGTGTTGCCATATTTTACAAGGCGCGGCTCAGACAATCAAGACGGCATTGCTGCTAGATCACGCAAATTTCGCTAAGTTCCATTCACTGTCTAGCAGAGAAAGAAGGTATCACTCCGGCAACGAAATATACAATTTTAATTTTGCTCATAGGCTTCCGTTAAGTTTAAGGATCAAGTAAATGATAAGTCTACAACATGGGACAATCGCCTTTACTTCCCCTCCGAAGAAAAGGATTTTTTTCGACCTTAGAAATCCACGGCTTGGGTCGGGTTTGAACCTGCAAACTTTAGTAACAGAGCCGCGCGAAGTAAAAGATGCCGCGCGAAGAGCATCAAATTGAACCAAGGATGTCCATCATCATTAGGATTTACGTACTGCATCCAGCGTCCACTGCACCGTGGTAGCGGTAGCCTTTTCCGTGGCAGCAAATCCTCCGCGCGAAGCCTCCACCCTGACTGATGGAGGCGGGCAAGCATAAGCAGCAAAAAAGGAAAATTAATTAAAGCTTTGTCAAGGGATTCGCGAAGCTTACGAACAAAAAAGGTCGCCGTCTGGCTCATTAATTCCATCCTGGCACACAGGAGGCACCCTGTCATGCAAATGCCCTCTGACGCTACACAACAGTTTCCCGCAAAAATTCAGTCCCACCCGTGTTATTCCTTGCTTCGCGATAATGGGGCGAACATCAAACACGCCTCTCACGAATAATTCTGACGCACGAAGGTGTTACCAGTTATTAATTAATTATAACACGCTGTTAAAACGCGAAATTGCATCTGACGGAAGTGAAGGGACTTGAAATGCATTTTCTGAAACTAAACAACTGAAAACACTATCATATCGTTATCATTATCATAATTGACCTTTCAACGGTTTAATATAATGGTAACAGAAACGGTAACACTATTTAGGTTATATTCTTCAGAGACCTTCTGGGATAAATTACGCGCTTGGTTTCCGAGTAGTGCAGACCTACCTCTCTCACGAATAATTGCTTCGCTCTAACAAAGTGACGTGCCCCTCGCGCTAGAGGGAACGTGGAATTGTGTTCAATAACCTAATAGTTAGTTTGTATCAGTGACAGTGTTCGTGTACGTAAACTAGTGAGAAATGTAAATCAGTGTAATGCTACAACTTAATAATTGTCATGTTTAAAACCAATTGCCCCGACATGGGACAAGCTATTCGAAGTGCCCTCGGAACACTCAACAACAGCGCCTCGGAAGCCGAAGGCAGAGAAAACAAAGTTTGCATGGCTGGAGAGCAAGATATTAGAACAAAATTGCAAATTTTATGGCAACAAAATCTACAGTTACAATATATGATAACTGCAATAAGCAAATTAACTTCAGCTTAATGAATTGCAACCCTTACAGCTGACTCCGTCTCGTAGAATCGCTGGCGTACTCCAACACGGGAATCAACCGCAAGAACAAGCAGAGGAGACGCAGTAGTGGCTCTCCAAATAACAACGGGCACTGCGCCCACTGGCACATCCTAAGTAGATACATCTCACGAACATCCTGCAACCAGTGAGCTTATTAGTAATAATTTTAAACGCATATCTAAAAATTCTCCAAATCATATTGTAGATATTGCAGTTACAAATAAATTTGATTCGCTAACAGAAGAGTTTGACGACAACAGTCATGATTGTCATGTGTCACGCGAAAATAAAATTCCGCCAAGATCACGCCTGTATCACGATGCTGATTAACCATTATTTTCTGAAACTCTCATTGAAAAACATAGCATTATATTACTCCATAGACATTTTTATGAGTCCAATCCAAACGACAACCAGTGACGAATTTCCCAACAAAACATCATCCTTTGAGAACAAT